GTGTGTGTGTGTGTGTGTACACGTTCTGTGTGTGTGCGTGTGAGTGTGTGTGTATGTGTATCTGTGTGTATTTGTGTGTGCATAAGCCTGTAACGTCGTTCTTCCGACAAAACATTGAAAACAAAGCATGAAAACTTAGTCAAGCGCCGCATTGCGGCCAGTAAAAGAAAACTAAAGAAAAAGGAACAAGTTTACCATACACTACTGGTGTTTACCTTTCTTTTGAACAACACCATGAACATTAACTACCGCGAAGTCTTTTAACTAATGTTTACCTTTGCACTGGATCAGTGCAGCAACTACTATGAGAAAAGTACATGCTTCCCCATAAAAAAGAATACGGTCTATAACCAGGTGGTGGAAAAAATCCAACGACCTCGACATGCACAATCCCACATGCATGTTGATTCAATATATACAAATTAATGAGTTTAAAAACGAGTTGGCTAATTATGAAATATGTTATTTGAAAAAAGACCAGAAAGAGTCAAGCAATACTGATAATTGAAAGTCATCCACATGTGTGTACTAATAGATTTCTTTCATTAAGTATGAGAAAGTAACATGAACACAATGTTGGTCACGCAAAGAAAAATGGACAGAATATTAATAAAGACAGAATAGTGGAGAAAAAGGTTAAACGAGGCATTATTATCAACAGATGAAACAATCAGCCACCTTCATAACTAGGGCAGGTGGTCTGTTGCTAAGGCAGATTAGAAGACAACTGAATTTTTGATATTCATTCGCTTATCTACATACACTGTATCACAATGACTCAGGGTGGTCGAGAATGTAGGAAACAGGAGAAAGGTAGTTTTAGAAGTTTAACGTCCAAGCCAACACTATTTACACCATTTCGGAGGCGGGCTGCTTCTACCCTGCCTGCAAGGGCCATCTCGAAATGACAGGGATACAACACCCTAGCAGATATACGGAAACACTCGATACAAAATACTCTCCCCACTGCAACTGAACTCGAATTTTCTGCGTTCAACAGCGAAGCATGTATCCGCTACACCACAGACGCTGGTAGGCAAACAAAAAGACAGCACACAAAAACATAAAGGAAACGCCCATAGCTTACGTGAACAGCTATCATCACCTTTCGCTTTGTTCACTTCACGTTTATTACAGGGGCAGAAGAGATGGAATACTAATACTGTCTGTCAGTCAGTCTGTCTGTCTGTCTGTCTGTCTGTCTGTCTGTCTGTCTGTCTGTCTGTCTGTGTCTCTGTCTCTGTCTCTGTCTCTGTCTCTGTCTCTCTC